TCGATTCTGACTCGTTGATCTGTCGGTGCTAACTTCCTCCTTTTTTGTGCGCTTGTAGCCTTAGTGGTATGGGTTTCCCTGGTCGAAGTTTGTTGGCTCTGCTTTCTTTTTTGCGTTGGGGGACTCGAGCTGTACTCCTGAGCTGGCGGGCTTCTCTCCTTACTTCCAGGATCCTGTAATAAATCCTGCAATATTTTAAAGTCAGTGCGGCTGTAATAAGGTTTTAACTGATCGATATTTGCCACCAGTTGTTGGCCATTTTCGGCCTTTAAATAAAACGTGGCTTCTCTTATTCTTTCCACCATGTACGGCCCTTCAAACCTGGGCTCAAACTTCGCCACTCTGTTTTCTGGTGCCGAGAATAACGAATATTTCAACTTAAGCACTTTTTGTCTCACTTTATATTCCAATTCCCTTCTATTTCTATCGTAATAAATCTTTTGTTTTTGTCTTGCTATATCAGAATTTTTTAATTGCTTCGTCAATAATTTTTTGAACGTCTTTTAACTTAAATTCTTCTTGTCGCTGTTGTACAAAGAATAGCTTATCCAACGGCGTTATGATTTTTCTTCCTAAAAATAACTCCGCGGGGGTTTACTGCGTAGTATCGTGCTTTGCGGTTCTCAAGGCAAAACCTAACTCATTGACAAAGCTGTTCCAGCGGTCATGAAAGTTTTTCACATATCCCCTGATAATTTTTACAATATTCTTATTTACGCGTTCCGCTATATTCGACTGCGGTCTATATGGTACCATTTTTAGATGGCGTATGCCAAGTCCTGTGCACAAATTTTTAAATATACTACTAACAAACTGTTTTCCGTTATCTGATATTACTTTTAGTGGGGCCCCGTATTTTAATATATATTTATTTAAGAAACGAATCTGCGACTATTTTAGCTGAAGCTCGTTTAAGAGGGACTACTATTTCTACCCATTTTGAAAAATGGTCAACGATTGTTAAAAGATATCTGTTTTTATTTATTTTTGTCCTAGGGTAGGGTCCTAGCAAATCTATTCCAACTATTTCGTTTGGAAAAGTGGTCTTTATGTTTTTTAAATACCCGGCCGGGCTGTAATTAACATCGTTTATTAATTGGCACATATGGCACGACTTAACATACGCCGCCGTAACAACTTTCTGTAACTGCGGAAAATAAACCGCTTCGCGTACCCTCTTTACCCTCTTTAGTGTTTTTCGTATTCCGAAATGTGCTGCAGAAGGTAGATCGTGCAACTCCTCTAAGATACTTAAACGTAGACTCGCTGGGATTACTGGTCGGTATTCCTGATTTTCATTAGTTACCTTTGTGTAAAATAACAATTTGTCGATTATTTCGTAATGCTGTGCCCTATTGCGAATAGCCGTTAAATCTATATGTTCAAATTTTTCAGGGTCTTCCAAGTATGCGTAAATATCTTTAAATTTAAACTCTGGGTCCTTTTTTAATTCTTCGATTATTGTTTCACGGGACTCAATAACTCTTGAGGTGAGCATGGCACACTTGATTGTGTTTCCCTCTTCATCAATTTTTATTCGCGAAAGGGCATCGGCGACCAAGTTTTCCTTTCCCGGAGTGTGTTTTATAATTAAGTTGAACTCTTGTAATTTTAAAGTCCAACGTATCAAGCGAGGCGATAAATTTTTTCCTGAATACAAGCGACCCACTGCCGCATGATCTGAGTAGACCGTTATCGGTGAACTTCCGAAGTAGACACGAAACTTCTGAACTGCTAATAACACAGCGAGCGTTTCTCGCTCAGTAGCGGAATAGTTCCTTTGCGTAGCATTCAAGGTTTTCGAAAAGAAAGCTATAGGTTGCCCATTTTGGGAGAGCACCGCTCCAACTGCATAATAATCGGATGCATCCGCTGAAATTTCTTTCTAGACCTTGCTCGCCTTCTGGGAATTTAAGGACTGGGGCATTGATTAGGGCATTCTTTAATTGTTCATCAAACGCGGTGTTCGCTTCGGCTGTCCAAGAAAATCTACTTTTCTTTCTTTTTAGCACTAGAAGAGGCTCAACTATTTTCGCAAAGTCTTTTATAAACATTCTATAATAGGAACATAAGCCCAAAAATGAAGACAATTTCTTAGCCGTATTTGGGGGAGGATAACTTTTAATTGACTTAATTTTTGAATCATCAGTCTCTATTCCCTTATTCGAGATTTTGTACCCGAGGTATCGCAATTCCTTTGCCGCGAACTTGCATTTTCTTGCATTTATTTTGAAACCGGCCTCGTTAAGTAAAGAAAAAAACTTCTTCCAAATGTTTCAAATGTTCTTCTAATGCTTCGCTGGTAACTATGATATCGTCGAGATAAATTATTGTACTTTTACCTAAAACTGGCTTTAAGACTATGTCCATAGCTTTTTGGAACGTAGCTGGCGCTCCGCTCAAACCAAAGGGCATTCTTAAAAAGGCATAGACGCCTGACTTTGTTATAAACGCGGTCTTCTGCACATCCTCCGGCTTCACGGCTATTTGAAAGTAACCCGACGTGAGGTCTAGGGTTGTCATGAATTTAGTCGAGCGAATGTTTCTGATGATTTCATCAATTATTGGTAGGGGATATGTGGGATATTTTTGTTATACTGTTTAACTTACGATAATCAACTGCAAACCTATACGCGTCCGGGTGTTCAGGCGGTAGCCCGTTCTTTTTTTCTACAAAGGACCACCGGACTTGCGTAAGGGCTCGTGCTTGGTACAATTATTTTTTATTCTTTAACATAGTTTTTTATATGGGTTTCCAAAATTTCTTTTCTTTTTTTACTTTATCGTACCGGTAAGGTTTTGACCGGACTGGAGGGGCATTCCCAGTGTCTATGGAATGACTAACTACCTGACAAAACCCAGGTTTTTCGTTAAACAAAGAATTAAATTTCCTTACCAATTCTTCAATCTTCTTCTTTTTCTCTTCTAACTTCAAATGTTCTAGATTCAATTCCGGCATGGAAACTTCACCTTCTTGTACCGGGTCCATGTGCACCTGAAACGTAGAATTCTGAAAATTAAGATTTGCGCCGGATGCGCGTAAAAAATCGATCCCCAATAATATCACTGATGTGAGTAAATTTTTCACGACTAAAAAATTAATTTTTAGGACCTCGTTTTTAATCTGAACATGCAGTGCGGTTTTCCCCAAACATACGCACTGTTTGCCTTGGGCGGCAATTACTTTCTGTCCCGTGGCTTTAAACAGTCTGTAACGACGAAAATGTTTTTTGAAAAAAATTTTCTGATAGGAATGAACATTGTGCCCCTGTGTCCAGGAGTGCAGTGGTTGGTACATTATTTACCAAAATCTGTATCTCCGGCATAGCAAGATTTTGTACTACGACTGTATTTAAACAAATTTCTGAGGGGTCTTCTGTCCCACTCGGTGACCGTTGCCCCTTCTCGATCACCGGTTTGCGTTTAAAGTCTGGTTTTCTGGTTTCCTGCCGCCTCTTTCGCTGATTTTTATATCCACCGCCCTTAGATTTATCTGCGCTCTTGCTATTAAATTAAACTTTTCACTTTTTTCCCGTCTGCCGATATGCCTTGTACTGAACTTGTGGTTTTTCTTTTGGGGAGTAAATCTTGAGTACTGGCCAAACGGACTTGCACGCGCCTTCTCTGAGTTTCTTCTACTTTGAAATTTCATTGCAAGCTGGAACAGAATTTCCAACGTTTGCGGATTACGCACTTCGAGAAAATCTTGCGCTGACGGTAGAAGACGCGGTAGAATTATTTCGATAATTTCTTTTATCGGGCCTTTTCCCGTATAATAGATTAAAAATATGAACTTTTTCTTAAAATGAACTCTGTCAAATCCTCGAAACCGCCTTGGTATTTACTATACAATTCTGATTCAAGCTTCGCACGATCTTTAACAACAACTGGAAATGCTTTTATTAATGCAGATTTAAAATTTTCCCAGTTATATGATTCAGATCCTGGGTCCCCCAACAAGAACTTTCCTATACTCTCTCTTCTGCCAGCTAAGGGCTTGACCTTTTAAGGCTGTCGTAGCGATGATCACTTTTTGTAGCTGATTCACAGGGTGTAAGGTGAAATGTAGGTCTAGTTGCTCCAAAAATGTCAGGACTGAGCCCTTGCCATCGAAAGTGGCTGTTTGGTTTCATGGCTGCATGCAGCGTTTCCACGAGGAATCCAAACCCTTCTACTGGATTCGTGGATGTTGTAGGGACCTGAAAGGTCGGAGGGGTCAACGTAAACTTCCCGGACTCTAACGACATGGTCCGTTTAGAATTCTTTTCGGGCGCCAATTGTAAGGTCCCTCACTTGAAATTCTAAATTCTAAGTTAATGTTGGAAGTGAGGAACCTAGGAACTGATAAGCGAATAATCGCTAGAGTTCGAAGACAGGAAACAACAAGAGAGAAGGGTAAATAATTAATAAGTAAATAACCCTTTATTATTTCTATAAGATTTAACAAAACTCCGCCTGGGAGTGAACAAATAAAGTCCGCACTTTGGACTTGAACTTAAAAGACTAAGAATTAAACTAAAACTAAGATTAACTAACTAAGTATAGCCAAAGCTATCAAGGTTCAATGAGAGTTGGCCCCTTAACTTATTTTACTACGAAGCTTAGCAAGGGCCTGAGTACGGCCGAGCGTATAACAGCTTTGAGAGAGAGAGAGAGCGGCCAAAAAGGCAGACGCGCGTAGTTCAGAAACTCTGTTTCTCTCTCTGTCTCAGTAAGTAACTTCGTGGTTTAAATACCGCTCCTTCTCATTAAATAGTCAGCAAATTCCAAAACTACGTTCTGGCCGGAAGTAGTAAGTTGAAGTTAAGAATTTGACAGGAAAGGAACTTTAACTTAAAATTTAACTGTTAATAAAATTAACATAATCCTTACAATGTAATGCAAATTATTTATTTCAATCAAATAAATAGTTGTCACTGTTAAATTAAAAGAGAAAGCAACTCGATTTTGTGATAGCTTTCTTGAGGTGGCTCTGAACTTCTTTTCTCATTTTGCTGTAGGATCACATAGCAACAATATCACGGACAATGAAACCCTTAGTGACGAAGAATACAATCAAAGAAAAATTAAGAACTGCTCAAGGATTTCTCAAAAAGATAAGGGATCTTACCGAAGATGTAAGTAATACCTAAATATCTCTCCATCTGCATAGCTCTTGCAAATTTAGTATTAGTTTCATTGCGTTCTTGAATCCACTTTCCTGAAACATATTTCTGTGCAGCCCCAACACGTGCTTCCGGATGTGTTTGTATGGATGATCAGTGGGGGGAAGCGAGTTGCATACCAAAGACTAAGCTCCAGGGAACTCATGTTTTCGATAGTTGAAGAGGAGAGTGGGAAATACTGTGGAAAAGTTCAGACCCTTTTCTTAAAGGTAAGCCTATAATTTATTAACTTCATTTTAATTATAATATTATTCATTAGTTTCTATTTACCCGCACCCTCACCAAATAGCCACGAAAAGGTAATGATGAGGCAACAAATAGTGTCGTCGAAAAGTTACTATGTGGTTACCCAAGATGCCGCTCAAAAGTACTTATGTGGCAGCACAGGTGGGTATGTAACATCCCCTCAAATAACTTTCACCTTCTTCGAATATTTCAGCCATTGTGACTGCAGATTATGATCCTTCCTATGGGAATTTCAGTATTTTAGCATAATTTCAGTATTTTAGCATAAATTTTAGTATTTTAGCATATTTTAGCATTTCAGTATTTTAGCATTTCATTTTAGCATTTCAGTATTTTAGCATTTCAGTATTTTAGCATTTCAGTATTTTAGCATTTCAGTATTTTAGCATTTCAGTATTTTAGCATTCAGTATTTTAACATGGACGGGTCTCCGGAGAAATCTTGCACTTTACATTCTTGGCTCATGAATCGTAATGTGACACACTTAAGGGCATCACACGCTTCTTTTTAGAATGCCTTACTTATAAATTTTGATGAACATATATTTTCATCTTTCATTTCGGGTGATAAATGAAAGAAATTTTTAGAATATTATTAACAAAGTTGAGTCCTCAGTTTGAATTCCCTGTTTTGAAATCTTATAGTCCCGGTACATTAGTTCTTCTACCGCGAATTTACATTTAGTAGCATTTATTTTTAGACCTGCGTCTTTTAATAGTGTAAAAACTTCGTTTAATTCTTTTATATGTACCTCAATATTTTCGCTTGAGACAATGATATCGTCGAAATAAATGAACGTGGATTTGCCGAGAACAAGCCTTAATATAATGTCTATAGTTCCTTGGAATGCCGTTTTTGGTCCATTCTTGGGTTTTCATCGCTTTCTGAAAATACCCTGAGGTGTTATCTATTGTGGTCATGCGCTTGGTTGACGTAATTTTTCGTATAACTTCTTCAATGATAGGCATTGAGTTAACGGGGTACTTAATTAATTGTTTAATTTTCTGTAGTCGATAGCTAGCCTCCAGGCTTTAAAATGTAAGGGGGAAATGTCTTTTTTTTTTCTGCAAAGCACTACTGGGATAGCATATGGGCTGCTTATAATAATGCTTTAATAATTTTATTTTTGAACATTTGTTTGCTGTGTCGCGAATCTTCAAGTGTGTTCATGTTTTTTAAGTAATAAATAATTAATTATTTTTATTTGTTTTTCATTTAAATTTGAAACTGCAAAGAGTGTAATTGTAAGTGTTAAAAGCTTTACTCGTGGATTATTCGTGTGGACTTGATTTTTCTCACTGGTTGATTTTTCAAACAGTGAGAAAAGTCACTCTTTACTTAAGAGTTCTACGCTTAAGGGGAGAGTTTTGCTGTTTCTGCGGGTGCGTAATTGGCGGATTTGGGCGTCCTTGTGTGAAATGAGTTGAATTCCTGGGTTAAAAAATGTAAAACTTTTCTCACTGTTTTCTGCGGGGCGTTGAATGTCGGGGTTTGTCCCCATTTTGGGTGAATTTGGTTGCTTTGTGGAAAACACTCGCAACAAATAGCCGGAGCACTCGTTTTTCGCTCTCTTTTTTCCTCCGGTTTTGGCTGTGCAGGATGTTCGTAGGACGAGGGGCAATTTCTTGCTCCCTCAGACATCGGCATGAAAATGATGCGTAATTTTTTTGTTCCTGTTCTATTTGATAAAACAGTTAATGTTTAACTTATTGCTACTCCTTTCATGTAAATATGCATTTCTTCGGCTTCAAATTAAAAAAATAAAAGGAAAACCATTCCGTTTTCTTCAAGCCGGTGAGCGACTTCTTTGGTCCATCTGCGATGGCTTTTTCAAGCCTTGTCACCTATGCCATCTGTGTCTGTCTTCTTGACCAGTCGTTCTCCTGCCTTGAAGGGCAGAGAGTTTTATTTTGACCACCGAACCAAGCCTGCGTCTCACCATTTTCACCTTCTGGATTCTTTCACTTCTTGCTCCTGTGAAGTTCTTCACCGTTCCTTATGATGTTTCTCCGTTCTGTAAAAAGAGCCTGATGTCCAGCTCGTCTTTGGAAGGGATCCAATACTACTGACTCCTTCGGTTTCACTCGGACTTAAAGCAGATAATTATCTGCGTCCCGCTTAAAAACGCTTGGCTATTTTCTCCATTCTTTTCAACTGAGCGTTCTTTTCGATTCACGACAAGCGGATAACGTGCTGCAGCTTTGCGGAGCCCTGGGTTGAAGACAAGAGTTAATTTTTTTGTTGTTGTTGTTAAATTTGGGTGAATATACAACAATGAAATTTCAATAATGCTTTCGTAGAAGGAAATGTATCAATGTTAAATTAGAATCGAAAATTAATTGCAGTAGTAAAATCTGATATTTATATTAGGATCCCAGTTTCAGATGCGTTTCAGCGCCCCCCCGGGTTATTGCAATAGTGTGGTAATTTGTAATGAAGCAGTTTCATTTATTTTGTTTATTATAGGTGATCTCTCTAAATTTTGGCAATGCTCTGTTTAAAGGAATTCTATTAAATGTGCAATAATTACAGTTAGCTTTTGTTCTGCAAAGATTTATATAAATAGACTCAGTTAAGAATATATAATAAGCAATTTAGTTAACAAAGTATACGAGCAAATTAGCATTAAGAATGTATTGTAAGTAAATAGCATTGAACTGGTAAAAGTGTGTTATAAGTCTGAAAGAAAATAGTCTATGCTTAAATTCGTTAAAATGTACAATATTATTTCCTCACTCTTGGGAGTATCAATCATATATTCTTCTTGTTTAACCTAATATTAAAGTAGAATAAAATTTCAGTTTTTTTATATTGGATAAATTTAGTATTTTGTTTTAAATATATATTGCCTTGTCTGCTTATTTGGCATGATTTCCACCAGCTATCATTTGGGTTGTACAGGTATTTTTATTTGGAGATATAATTACACACCGCGAAACAAAATTCATTACATGATTGATATGTTTCTAATTTCTAATTCAGAAGTCAAACAACAAAAATCAGCGTTAATTTACAAAATTAACGCTGATTTTTGTTGTTTGACTTCTGAATTAGTATTTATTCGGCGTGTTATTGTGTCTTAATTATGTTTCTAATTTGTTTAGGTTCTGTCTAAATTGGGCGTGACAAGTATTTTACGAGTTAAATATTTGTATATATATATACTTAACTTGCTAGTGTTTTGAAATGCTTTTTGCACTATTTAATTTTTACTCCTCTTTCTATTAAAGTTATCGAATACATTTTTTCTGACTGGTGGTAAGGTAAATCAATAGTAATTGAAACTCAATCTGGATAATGAGTGTGTATACTTAAATTGCTGCTGAAGAAACAATTTATATTGTGCTGACATTTGTTAATGAATTTAATTGTTATGTAATAGTTTAATTTTTAATGTCCTAAATTCGTTTGTGTTGAATAACTATTCACTGATTCTGAAAATATTCTCATCCCAAACGTTGGCTTGTAATTCATTCTCAGAATCCCTTATCAGGGGATTACTGCATCCGGAAATTCTTTTGCTCAAGCATTAGAATACATGAAATGTTTCCACCACATGTTCAATTATCAGCGCCACGTGCAGTTTTATTTAAACAGGATCCCAGTTGCTGTGACATCTCTAGCAGGGAAAGTTTCTACAGCGAGTTGTTTATGAGGGGGAAAAAGTCGTTGTATAGGAAGCATAGGAAGTCGTTGTATAGGCAAAAACCTTTTGTTGCTCAAAAATTTTTCTCCCCGGTTCGTGGGGGAATATGTTGTGTCGCGAACTGGATATGTTATGTCGCGAATTTTTAAGTGTGTTCATGTTTTTTAAGTAATCAATAATTAAGTATTTTTATTTGTATTTCATTTAAATTTGAAATTGCAAAGAGTGTTAAAATATTTAGCTGGTTATTTTTTCAACGGTATGATTTTGTAACAAAGACAGGATGATTTCTTATGAATTTTCTGGACGGAAATGACTTTTTTCCTTAGCTTTTACGTTAACAGAACAGAGAGCAGTATTGTATGTTTTTGTATGTCTTTTGCTCTGCGGAGGGTTTTGATAATGGGAAGTAAAAGGTAAATTGGCCCTCTCGTTTTCACTTGCAATCTCCCTTTGTGAATGATGATAAGGTTGAATGAATCAGTTCTCCAGGTCGAGGGCGTTCTGTAAATTTTCGGCAATTTGACTATTATCGTTAGTTTTTTCGCTGTTAGCTGGGGGAAGGTCGATTTATTTTTTCCACTCTTCTGGGTGCAGCTGGTGTCAATAGTATGCTGCAGGTTTGTATAAAGTTCTGTTTTTGATTCGTTTGCAGAGGGAAGGATTTCAGCTAAATAATTAGAGAAATCCTTGAGTTGGTGAAATTTAATTTTATGCGAATTTGTGGGCCTATAACTTTAAAGGGGCGGAGAAATCACATTTCTTGGGAACATGCACGAGGTTAGAAGTCAGTCGGATTTTGAGCTGCAGTGATGTAAATTAATTAATTGAAGAATTAATTGGTATTCAATTAATTAATTTGTATAAGATCCTTTGTTTCTTAATTTTTATTTTTGTTCCACAATTTTAAAGTTTTAATATTTTTCTACTACCTTGAAATTTTTAATGGTACAATCTTTAGTCATTAGACTGTGTCAAGCATTATTAACTATTGAACAATATAACATAAAATATTACAAATGTTACTACCAGCTATCATCACTGTATAATTGAACATATGCATGTTAATACTTATATTGTAGTAGGTAAAGTGGGTATATGTGCAATATAACAAAAGCGTTTTTAAATAATACTGAATTAATCACATGAAATAGCAAGAGGTGTAAATATCAGTGTGAAACATAACATTAAAGCAATTCTAAATTACAGAATATATGTTTGCGTTGTGGTTGGTGTAATATTAAATGGGTGCTAAATGTGATGATAAATGGGTGGTTTCCGCAATAACCCAGAAATACTGGATACGTGCAAGATGAA